CATCCTCTGGCAACGAACACAAAAGTAGCATCGCCTTGTCTTCATCCTCAACCATGATATCCACATTGGCCATATCTAAAAGTAACTTCATGAAGTTGTTGACATGCTCCCTAATGGAAACTCCCCTCTTCTTCAAGTGAAGCCGATTCTCATTGCTCTTAGTAAGATACTTCTCATTGAGTGTTTCTCACAATATCTTCGTCGACATCTCGTTCATCACATCATAAATAAGATCTAGCGTCAAGCATGACCGAATAACTCCACAAGCCCTACTGTTCATCTTCTTCCAAACCTTATCCTCCATGTCTTCAGGTTTCTCTTGTAACTCAAGAGTCTCCTCCAAATTCTGTGTATCCAATGCATCCATCACGTGACACATTCACAAACCGAAATTGATCTTGCTATCGAACTTCAGAACATCAATCTTCGTGTTATTGATACTCAGACTCTGTATCGCCTTCGTAAGAGACGAACCCGATGTGCTTGCTTCATCCATGTTGATGATCTAACTCTTCAAATAAGAATGCTTCAGCAAATCCTTCGAACAAGCCCTAAGCCAAATCCGAAGCTCTAATATCACTTGTTGTGCGTAGCGGAACTCAAATCACATGAAAGTGCACGAACAAGAACGAGATAGATCACAACCACACCAGCAAAACACAATCACCACAGCAAGACAAACAAATTTTACGTGGTTCGACAAATTGTCTACATCTACGGGGCAAGGAGGGGGGGTTCTTACTATTAGAAATCAAGAGAATACAAATAGGGTTACAAATCTTACCAATAAACCCTAGAACAAAGCTCTCTAGATCTCTCACAAATCCTCCCACAATTCATGCACAATCCTCTCTCAAAAGTCTGCTCAAATCGTCCTTGCTTAACCCTAATTAATCAGGTTTAGGGTTATATAGCAACTAAAAACTAAATGGGTCAGTAAACCAACCCAGACTCATACCCGACTGGCGATCGACCGTCAAATTTGTCGCGGTCGACTGCAAAGGAAAGACAGAAAAAAAATCACCTACAGGGTTTGGCAGTCGACTGCTGCGATTGACCGAACCTTGGCGGTCGATAGCAGCGGTCGACCGGCTCCAA